AAAATAATAAATAGGTGCTTTCTGTAAGCTATTGAATTAGATTAATGGATTAAGTTTTAAACTATATATTTTTAGAATGATATTTTTTAAGTTGTTATAATTACTGTAAATACTTCAAGCTATAATTAGTAAATGTATCCCCAATACACTTTTTAAATGGAAAATAAAGGGAATGAAAAATTAAGTTCAAATTTGTTTGTCTTTGAATTCAACTTAGAACCATGGAAGTGAGTAATATGTTTTAAGAAAGCATTTAAGTATGATCACTGTAAGGGCATTATCAAGAACCCTGAAAAATTGACAACAAAGGTCAGTTATATATGCCCTTAAATTTAAAGAAACTTGTACAGTGTACATTGTATATGCACAACACTTGTGAACTAAAGATTTTTTAGAAAGGCCTAGTTTTCAAAAATAAGGGAACTCTAAATAATCTTTATCTTTCTGAATGAAAAGCATTTTCCTATTGAAAATTGTTTAAGAAACAAAATGATATCAACTAAAGCTCACAAAAGGCTGAAGCCAAATCAATTTGTTTTCTTCTCGAAACGTTTTGAAAATATGTGTAAAATCTTTACCTATACTCCACCTATTTACAAGACTTGTTTAAAAACCGATTTCCTGCCCGAGAGCCTAATTTAAAAAATATCACTAAACTTTACTCAATTGATTGGCTGTTTTGCCTAAATTTTCTTAGAAATATATTAATTTTGCTCTTGTAAAAATATTAAAATACTTTAACTATGTAGTTTTAATTTACTAAGATTTAACAACTATTCAGGTAAAGGGGCATCTATCGCCTGGTGGTTAAAGTGATACACTTCAAAACACTTGCTGACTGGTGTGGGTTCAAACACCTGCAGGGACTTGAGAGAAAGCTATCTAGCTATCCCTAGGAATGTCAGTGATTCTACTCGGCCTGAAATAATACACGGAGGACCACTAGAGGTCTGCCTCCACCAATAAAGCTAGAAAGTGGCCATATTACCTCTACTGTGCTGGTGCGACATAGAAAAAAAGTTAATGTTATACCTTAATCTTCTGGGGTTTGAATTACAACCCTCAGTTTGAATGCAATTGACAGCATTTGCAGACTTCCCGAAAGTGAAAAAAAATTTGTCGGACTTTTGGTCTGACATACCATGAAAATCTGTCAGACTGAATGAAATTAAACAAAATCAAAGGCAAACTTGGCACCTTTAGCCACGCCATTTTGTATATGTGCAACTTGGATAAAAGTCGGACCAATCTGGAATAAAGAATTATCGGACCTAATCAAAATTTATCGGACATGTCTGTCGGTCTAACGTATTTCGGGAAATCTGGCATTTGTAGCCTGTTTTTAAATACTCTTCAAAGCAAGGATGGTCAAACTTAACATGTAAATTAAATTCAAATGATCTTCTCTAAAATAAGATAAATTACTTGAAACTTAAATGCAATATTTAAGGGTCATAACACTGGCAAATTGCAGGTTTTGGATACGTCGAAGTGGCAATTGAGTAATAATGTGGATGAGAGGCATCATCTTGTTGTTCTACAAAAATTTTCTGTAAATGACACCAAGTGGGTTAAAGTTTCCAACACCAAGGTTCATGTTGTTGATATAGAATTTTTAGTAAAATTCACAGGGTCAGAGGGCAAAACTGAAAATTACAATCTGTTGAATAATTAAAATAAATTTCTCAATCCCGGAAGTGCATATTTTAACCTAAAAATTTTAACTCAAATAGTTTTATAGCTTGCAGGTATGCTCCGGGCATGAAAAATGCTATCCACCCACCATCCGATTGGTGACTCCTGTAATATATACCCCCTTAAACTGTCCAGGGTAATGCATTGTTTGAAGTTCACTTTTGAAATTTAGTAGCATTGCAATACAGTAAAAACCCTCAATTAAGACCACCTTCGGGACTGAACCAAAGTGGTCTTAATTGAGGGGTGGTCTTAATTGTGAATATTCTTATAACTGCTACAACACTTTTTTTTAGCCATGGTTCCTATTTTTTTAGTCATCTTGTAATGAACAAAACAATATATATACCTGCAAATACAAAACTTAAAAATAATGTTATAAATTAAGCATATGGAAATGGGTTGAAAAGAAATTTTAAATATCAAATTCTGTTTGTTCTGATTTTCAATATCAATTTCAATATTAATTATTATGTATGATGTACATAGTTTCACCCATCAAATAAAGAAGAATTAGATCTTCGCATAATCATGTGCTTAAAAGCAAGATTAAACAACTGTAAAATTTACTTTCTCAGGCCTTATTTCCATACAATATTCCAAATGATATAAAGGTGTTTTGACACCATTGTGAAAGTTGGTGTCATGGGCCTTAGAGCATTCAAGCTGATAATACAAAGCAAAATTTAGAATAAATCAGTGGTCTCAATAGTGGGGGTTAAATAAAGGGAACCAAACAAAGAAAATTGGGACTGAATCTGGTGGTCTTAAAGTGGATAAGGGAAGGTGGTCCTTAATTCTGGATCATGTAACCATTGACATAAAGAACAGAAAATTTCGTACTTTTAAAAAATGGTCTCAATAGCGGGGTGGTCTTAATTCTGGGGTGGTCTTAAGTAGGGATTCTACTGTAATTCATTTGTGGCCATTGATTACATATATATTTGGCTACAGAACAAAAGAAATAGAACTAATACATGTAAATGCAAATTTTTATTCCACCACTTGTGGTGATGTAGCACAAAATAAATCAAGAGAATAAGTTTATACACAGTTCATTTCAGTTTGGTTGTGCAGGAAGCTAAACTCAAATACGTTCCCATATAAGAAAACAGTACTAGACAACAAGTGTAAAGTTTCTTGTTCAAGGAAACAATGGCTTGCCCATAATGGGTTTGAACCCAAGATGTGTGCAATACCTTATTACAAGTCAGACTGTTAACCACTCGGACACGCTGTCACTATCAAGAGTATTGAGTATTCATTGTATATTGCCCCAAATTTTTTACCTTCATTTATTACACAACCATATAGGAATAACAAAAAAAGAAAACAAACACAAAATGTCAATATCATATTATGTATAATTCTAAATGAATAAAACTTCATTATATTAATCACCTTACAATTAACATTTTTAGTCAGTTATTCAGACATTGTCAACAAACAGATATCAATTTTTAATAATCAACTCTTCTTACTATAACAGCAACAAATGAAAAATGCAAAACTAAATGTACATAGAACTGTTACTGTCCTAGCTAAGATATTATGAGAAATAATGTGTGTTTTGACATATTCCAAGATTTTCAGGAAATGTATGATTAATCTATAGAACTGCTAATTCAATGAAAATTTCTAATTTAACAGATATCGGGTATTCTTTTTACAGTTAGTATTTCATATACTTTGTGACTTATTTACTTTTCACAGGTTTTGTATGACACACAATCATATTGATCAAGGCACTAAAGGAATGTTGATCCAACACTTAATTGTTAAATTTTAGCATTTTTATAATATTGAATTCCCTTAAATATCTGATGAACTGATTCAAATTTTAGGCAGGATAAATCTATTATGTAAATTCAGGGATGGACAACGCAAACTTCTGTAGGAATAATTTATACTTGTTTTAACTTATGAAAATTATATCATTAACTAATGAATTCTAAAGCAATGTAATGAAATATCATAAAATATTTACGTTACCATTCTATAGTCAATATGCCGAGATGTGAGTTTCATTACCATCTATATGACAAACATGTTATAAATAAATAATTGAAAATCAAGTCCTGAGAACCTGTACATAAACATTCTAAAAAAAAAAAAAAAAACATGTACAATATATTTAAACAGAGATAAAATCGGATATAGGAAAATACCAAAACAAATTTTCAATCAGCATATTTCTGTAACAAACAAAATACTTGTATTTCTACAACAAATGACAAACAATTTCCATTTTCCTTTTGAAGAGTATGGTATGGAAGACATGATGACTACATTATCTGTTCAAGAATGATTAAACAAGTGCAATATTTAAGGCCATTTACACATATGTTCCATTAAAACCTGATACCAGTAAATGTATATGTAATATTCAAGATTGAAAACACATGTTAAATTTGATCAAAAATGATATTTCAATACTGACAGTAAATTTAATACAAGTATCACCAAAACATTTCTCTTGTTATTTTTAGTGAATATCGTACTGCATTATAATGTTTATTCTTATTTTAAACATAATTGCTAATAAAGTCTTTCTTTTATATTATATGATAAACAGAATCATATTTTCAAAAGATGAAGTGTTCAAGGGTTGTATTTCATATGCCAAAAAAAAAGATTTACAACCATTTTACACCAAGCCCTCGAATTATTAAAAGCACATTATGCCTCAAAAATATTTTTTTTTTATTTCTTTAGAAAGGGCAAGCATGAATTTTATAATGTTTAAATAATGGTTTTACAGAATGCAAGAAGCTTGTTTCCTGAAGAAATTAGTGATAAATGTGAAATAATTTGTCATAAAAGTAGGAAAATGTAAACAGATATTTTGACTACCATACAAAATAATAATTCAGTATAGCTGTACTTATTGCCAATAACCAACAGATGAAAAAATTGGTTCTGGCAATTGGCCAATGAGTAATTTTTAGATATTATATATCAAGCACACCAAAATTAAATATTTTGATACCTAACATCCATGTATACTATAATACAGATGTATGATTTTAGGTTGAACACTATCATCTGGCAGTTCATTATGACTAGAAACTAAATCATAAAATGATATCAGCCCGATGTTGACAGTTATAGGTAACCATAGCTACATTGAATTTTTAAATAATGCAATAAAATGATTCATCTTCATCACATAATAACATACAAAGATAAACTACATGCAATTTGAGCAAAATTGTTACATTCAGGAATAACCAGTTTGCTGTTTATAACAGCTGTTGGAGTATTTACCCAACATGTAAAAATATGTATACATGTATATATATATGATACAGTATCTCAAAATAAACTTAGTAACATTGTAAACATAAGAGCACTGTAATTATTCATACCATTATATATTGAATCACAGAATGGCAACGTTAGCATTGTATACACTCATATGGCAAATATTAATTTATGGCAGCAACTTTTCGGTCACAGCCAAATTGCAATAAATGTGTATTACAAAACAGTCAAGCCATATTGTAATATTTTGCAGTAAAGTAACTTTTTTAACTCCCTAGGAATTTCTGAAAGAGGGCCCATAAACCCTGTTCAAGGTTTTGGGTTAAGAGATTCCAATATCAAAACTTTAATTTCAGCAACTATAATTAATCATAAATTGTTCATACTTTTCAGTTGTAGGACCCATCTTAGAGCTTGAAAAAATTTATTTTAGAAAAATTACTAAAAAGGAATGAAGATTCTAAAATGGTTGGCAAGTTTTGAAGGTCCTTGGGATACACTGCTGCTGTAAAATGGCAGTCCTGGGACCAGATTTGTGACAGTTATGCAGAATATAAGAATATCCTGCTTGAGGGTAAACTGTTTACGAAGGTAACCAGGCTCTAGCAAGTTCTTGCTACACAAGAGCTATGTATTCCATTCTGTGACCATAGCCAGTCTTTGATTCTTTTTCTTGCATTAATTAAAAGTCATATTTTGGAATGAAATAATGAATACTAATATTTTCATTTAGCACTTTTTTCTTACAGTAGCCCATGAATCTACAATTTACAACTTCATCTGTAAAGGCAAAATGACATCATCTTAAGAACACAATTCATTTACAAAAGACAAGTTCACTTGAAGCAAGCAAATTACCATTAACCTTTTAATTAAATTTTTTTTGAAAGGTTTATTTAACGTTTAAAGTCTTAACATGTAACTTGCCAAATTTCTCAACTGTACTTGTCAAGCTTCCATTTTTGTAACCATCCATTGTCAATTTTGTGAATATCAATACGAAAATCTAAAGATAGCCAACAGTTTTAAGCCCGGACTGCATGGATGTGCAGGCTGGCCTGGCTGTATACTAGTGACAAAAGCTAATAACTTTCAGACCCAGGAGGGTAAGGTGTGAGCCTTTATCAAACAATTAAAATTAAAGTGTTATTTCTAGGCTGCAGTGTTTTAAAAAGGCAAAATATGTGATTGTATAGTTTGGTCAAATATTTAAGAAACTAACACAGTTAAATGACTTTGTACCATAGTATGTATCAGCAGAAGTTGCATCTCAATGTACAAGTATATTTATGCACCGCTAGAAAATATATTTTAGATATCACATTTGTTTATCTTAACCAATAATGGATAATAACTAACAACGACAGCCATGGTCAGGAATCGACTTTGTTATGATAAATTTTGTTATGAAAGAGTTCAGCCTCCTGTTTCAAATCCGCCATCTGAATCTGTATAGTGTCTGTTAGATGTTTTCTTATTTCCTCCTGCAAAAAGTATAAATAAAAAATACATTGTATGGAACATGGATTTTAAAATGTTGGAACTGGCACAATTTCATAACTTGTTGTTTGATGTAAGCAATGCTGCAACCAAATGATAATTCATACAAATTTCATCCTTCTAAATCTATAAAGCAAACTTCTTAATTTCAAATGTGTTAAACAAACTTCCAAACACTGATATTTTTCACACTCGTACTGTCAAAATTATGATTTATGTATCCATAACACACAAATTGCAGAACACAGATGGAATAAGCCTGTAAATATCAAAATGAGCTTTCCAAGAGTTACGGTAAATACAATTATGTCAATCTTATAATGCCAACTTGAAACTAAATTTATAATTTCATTATCATTAATGACTGCAACTTAATTCTATTCATTACTGATTTAATGAGAATGACAATATAACACGGAGATATATTAACCCATACACTGCTGGAACCAAAAGTGATAAAACTATGCCACCAGTATAGTGCAAGGGTAGTATGTACATCTGTATAGTCAGAGCAGGTTCTATACTGTTAGTTTAGATTATACAAACTTATTTTAGTTCAAAGCTTTGTGTTGGAAGCAATAATCTTATTGAAACATTTTCAAATCTGTTTCTTGTACTAACCAGTACTAAGCAATAACTGTAAAATTTCTTACTCAAGGAAACAATGGCTTGCCCCTGACGGGGTTTTGAACCCAGGCAGTAAGCAATCCTTGGATTCCTTGTCTGATGTGTTAACCACTTGGCCACACCATGGCACTAATACAAATGGTAGCTCAACTTTTATATTTTAAAAAATCCCATACACTTTAAATGGACTGCTCCAAGTCAAAGTGGGGCAAATCTATTACACAAAGTAGGCAATACTATAAAACATTAACTGAGCTACAAACAGTATAGAGCATGGTCAAACTGCAAGGACATAATGCTAGCCTGACTCTATACTGATGGTGAAGATTAATCACTTTCAGTTTCAGCAGGTTAAGGGCTAGATAGCTAATATCTTCCCTGGTCAGACACAAATATTTAGATTATAACAGGAAGCATTAGAGTTCCTTTCAATTTAAGAAGGGATAAGGGTAACAACGGTCTCAAATACATGTACATAAAATCTTTGTTCTTATTCAACCAGTGAGTCGTAATGGTCTGCCAAAAATTATTTGAAAGACATACTATGCAAAGTTTTATCACTTTCAAACTATTACAACGATAGTTTACCTGAGTTTTCTTGGTTTGTTTGAGCAATGTTACTTCCTGAGTGAAGTCTATAGGTTCACTTATGTATATTGATGATTTCTTTCCAACGCGTGGGTACAGTATACCTTCATTTGGGAAGATCTTTTCAAAACCTGAAGAAGAAATTATATTATCTCATAGACATTAAACTCTGTTGAAACACAAACAATAACAAGTCACAGGATACATGTACATGTATTGTCGTAAAACCAGGCTTTCTGCAGATATTACATATGTTAAAAATAATAAAGGGCCATAACTCTGCAAAACATTATCAAATGACAACACTCTCTACAATGTACACAAGGGCACTCTATGAAAGTTTCAATGAAATCCCTTTAAAAAAAATTTATGCTTGCATACCCAGACAGCCCACTGGCATTCACCAACCTGATAAAAAAAGTTCTTTATAAAATGTGGTTTACAAATTGTCTTTCTTTATAGATAAATATATAACAGCTCAGGAACATCAAAAAGTCATCACAAAATTATGTGATAAAATGTGTATAATACGTATACTGTATAGTATTCATTAAGAACACTTAAAACAAAATTCTACGCAAGATTTTATATGTCCCAGTTGTCATTATAGATAGACAAAATACAATTATTCCCCTTTACTTACATTGTATACATTTATACTAAGTGATTGAGCTGTCTGATGAAAAATTATATACAAAGCATTTATCCATTCAAGATTGATCTCCCTTTCATTACAAGCAGACTGAAAATGCTGTGTCAACCAATGTGTGTCATGAGCATGTTTACTTATATCAAGATATAAACTGTAATAACCGAAATTACCACTTTTTATTTGATGAGGTATTGGGATACTTTTACCAGGCAAAAATTTTGTATTATCTATCTGCATTCAAATGTGACAACTAAACAACCTTGCATAAGCTACCATAGCTTGATAGCTTCCTCTCTCAAAAGAATCCAAAGACCCTGTTAGGATTCACACCTACAGTGCGGAGGAGCAAATGATATCAGTTGGCAACCATAACCATTGACAGTTCCATGATAACTACCATATGAACACATTTCTAAATTGAAAATATCACCATTTTTATGTGTAAATGTTGAATTCTGCTAAAGATTGTGCTAGGGGGCGCGGGCAGTTACGGTAGTTTGTTACTTTCCAGTACCGTCCATGAATAGGCTCAATCAAACAGAGCCTGCAACGTTTAAAATTTTGCCATTCTTTAGGGTTGCTTTTTTTCTCTTTTTCTTTCAACCAATTGGCCAAAGAGGCAATTTTTTGTTCAGAGAGATGTAGGGCTATTATAAACTTGGCAATGAAGATATCATGACCAAGATTAAAGTTGTCCTCCAAGTTACTGACAGACAGATAAGACATAAACAAAACACTAGCTATATTATTAAAATTGCTTTTCTTTAACTTTTTAAACATCTGATACATACCAACATGGTGGATGAGCAAGACAAGGGGTGTCACAGGTGTATCAGCTATCAATCTACCAACACCTGTAATTAAAATAGTGCTTTTGATTCTTCAAGTATAAATGCCTGTCCTCAGAATTGAACCCATGACTTGTTTAAACCAAAAATGAGTATCCTTGGCCACCAGTCTAGGGCCAGACTTGCAAGCACATCTGTGCAGTCAGGCCAGGCTCTATGCTGTTGGCTGATTAACTTTAATTTTCATCATGATATCCCCCAATTTGATAATGGAATGTTCTAAAATTACAAGCTGGACAAGCCCATTTCTGAAATTCAACAGGTAAAGGGTTAAACAGGAAGTATTTATTGACAGGTGGTCTCACAAAAAAGGGAAATTTAACAAAAAATTTCTTCAAATGGAAAATAAAGCATTGGTCTTGAAAGGGTGTTAAGCTATTACAAACTGGCAAGTTAAATGTATACATTAAACATTTTAATATCTATACCATCACAGTGCTCTCATACCTTAACAACAACTTCTTAAGTAAGTTTTTAAAACAGTTTATCATATATTTTTACAAAACATGAATATCATAAACAAACAGAAGAAACTGTTAACTTATTTTTATTTTGAGTGCATTTTATGATAACATTTGTGCATGTGCCACTCCTTTTCATCATTTTAACAGAAATCTCTGTATTACTCATCAAGAAGATCAATTGACTTCTTGAACATGTCAATCTTTCCACTTTTATTATTCAATTTTAGAATGTATTTGTGTTGTGTATCATATACCGGTAGTAATTTTTTTACAACTGACTGCACACACATGTACATGTATGTCAATTTTATTGCTACAAATTTGCCTTAAACTATTTCAAATTTTCTTCCCTTTTCCTAGTACAGGTCAGCCAAAATATGTTAACTTTTATATAGTAATAATGTATATATTTATGTATATTATAATGTTAACTTATATATAAAGCTCAACTTGGTTATACAAATTCAAGTGTGACAAAATTGAAATTACATCAAGCTTTTTCTTCCCCTTTTGCAAATATACCGTGTGATTTTCCCCTAAAATTAAGGACAGGGCTGCTTCCCAAATCTGTGCAAAAAAGGCATGCACTTATCCATCTTTCAATCTGGACAAAACTATTAATAATTTTTAGAGAAATGTTCAAAATATGTCCTGATTGAATAATGAACACAGTAGATCATGATCAGATGTGCTGGCTGACACGACACTGCACTGGTCACATGGGTAGATACAACTGCCACACTAAGTGTTAAAACATTCATACAGTCATACTTCATGTATATGCATGAAACTTTCTCAAAAAAAAAAAATCTTTCTGATTGACAATAATTGTCCTACTTCTCCAGTGTGTGAGTTGGAACTGGCATCTTTGTCTCTCTTATTATCAAAGGTCTAACCTATTGGTAAATAACAGAGTGATAGACATATCAGCAGTTTTTTGTGACAAGTTATAGGTTATTTTTATGGACAATAAGCGCTTTAACAAAGATTAAATCATTGGTTTTGTACACTTGACAACAATTTTAATCATTTCAACAATTTCAATCATTTCAAAAATTTCTTACTTTCCTCAAAAATTGAAAAAAAAATCTGGATCTGTGCCAATTTGCCAATAAATATTTCCATATAATATAAGAATCAAATGTAAAATTTCAGAAAATTAAGAATATCTCATTTTCTTCTTGCAGTCTTCAATAAATGTTTAATTGGTTGCATGACTGACTGGTTTAACACACAAGACTAGTAATTTAAGGTTTGCTTAGGGCATTGGTCCAAACCCTGTCATAGGCAAACCGTTGTTTCCTTACGCAAGAAACTCATTCATTGCTTAGTACTGGTTGGTTCCAGGAACGGATTCCAAAGTACATGTATGTTTCTGAAGGTTATAGCTTCCTACACAATCAAATCAAAATAAATTCTGTATAGATTTTTTTGCTGTTGTTGTTTTTTGTTTTACTGTGCACCAACACAATTTTGGTCATATGGTGCCGAAACAGATGGCTTTGATTAGCATCCAGTGTTACATGCTTAAAGCAACACAGGGGTCACCTTGATGGAGCTAAGAGGCGCATAGACTCCAGTTATAATAATTCGAACCAATTTAGCCGTCACTAACGATCACTCAGAGATAAACGGTGGCTTCAACTCTGATGCCTAAACACTTATACTAAAAGGCAACCCCTCAGCCACATGGGGGATCAATATTTCAAACTTTTAAAAGAATTGTTTCAAGTGACAGAGAATAAACTGAGCCCATATATTTCAAGGGTTCAAATCAAGACAAAACTCATTCATAATAAAGCAGCTGGTAATGAAAACGAACCATTCAACTCTGATAATGTCAGGAATAAACTTACCCCACTTTAGTCTCATGGCTTTCTGTTCTAGATTTATTTTACCTGTAAAAGAATAGCAAAATTTACTTAATATTAATCAAATGTACACTAAAAGTTTCTGTGAACTAAATTTAACTTTTTTTTATTATATCAACCTTATAAAGTAAATACATAACAAAAGCTGTCATACCAGACTAAAGACCAGACTGTTTTTAGTGTTTGATGAGACCCGCAGAAATGTATTTAATTTCACTTAAAGGAATGATTCCATGAAAGCTCATGCTACAGTTACTGGTGCTTGATAGTAACCTACAATTATGACTCTGAAGTTATGACTGAAGATTTTCTTAGTTATAAAGATCTTTGACAGGTTATATGGCACCATTATAAATGGTTGTTTGGAAATATTGCAAACAACTATTTATATATGGCCATATAACCGGTCAAAAATATTTTCAACAATTTATAATACAGCGTAGAGAAAAAGGTGAGATTTCTTCATAAATTGACAACATCTGTGTTACAGTGTATATAAATCTATATAAATGCCAGTATTATCCTATGAAAAGCAATGTTACAAAGTACATATAATTCAGTGAAATCTTAACTAGACTTTAAGAGTTGTGGACAGGTACTTAAAATGATTATCCAAAGATAATATATGTGAGAAGTTTCATGTGAATACATTCAGTTGTTAAAAACATATGAAGCTGTGCATAAACTCTAAAATAAATTGTCCCACTCAAATGCATGTTTTATTCAATGAATAGCAGCATTCAGTATTATAAGAATACATATATGTATAATCTTTAGAAAATATTCTCAAGAACATACATAGGAATAATGCATTTTGCCAAACTTCTTAACTCAATATGGAGAGCATCAGATTTGTAATACAGATATGAGCCGTGTCATGACAAAACCAACATAATGCGTTTGCGACCAGCATGGATCCAGACCAGCCTGGACATCCGCACAGTTTGATCAGGATCCATGCTGTTCCCTATCAGTTTCTCTACTTGTAATAGAATTGGTAAGCGAACAGCATGGATCCTGATCAGACTGAGCGGATGCGCAGGCTGGTCTGGATCCATGCTGGTGACAAATGCACTGTGTTGGTTTTGTCATGACATGGCTCATATCACTGGCTAATAAAAATTTCTCTGTGACAACTAAAATTGGACATTGCATCACCTTAGTGCAATAACTAGTTACATGTAAGTCTTATTAAATAAATTTAAGGACTTAACCTGTTACTGCACTAAGGTTACGATTGATTCTTACACTGTATGTCTTGTGTTATTTGTCTCCCATCACTGATTCAGAAATCAGGTGGGATAATAAGTTGTTCACTCACAGAGAAATTCTTGATTACTGGTTAACGGGTAATTACAATTTATAATTGTATCTTGGAAAGCTGGTAAGATGGATCGACCACCCAAATGTGACCAAAATCTGTGTTAAATAAGCTTTAACAAGAGCACCGCTAGGCGGAGCATTATATGCCCCAAAGTGATTTTTTTTTTAGTAAAGATGAAGCATTTGTAAGACATGGGAATTAAATAAAGTATTACCTCCTTCAAATAACAATCCTCCTTTGAAGTTTCAATATTGTGGTCCAAATGGAACTTAAGTTATGCCCCAGAAACTGTTTTCAATTCTAAGGTAATAGTGACCTTGACCTTGTGACCCCAAAATCAATAGGGGTCTTCTACCCAATATGGACAATCATCCTATGAAGTTTGAATATTGTGGGCTAAATGGAACTTAAGTTATGCTCCGGAAACTGTTTTTAGTTTTAAGTTAATAGTGGCCTTGACCTTTGACCTTGTGACCCCAAAATCAATAGGGGTCTTCTACCCAATATGGACAATCATCCTATGAAGTTTGAATATTGTGGGCTAAATGGAACTTAAGTTATGCTCCGGAAACTGTTTTCAATTTCTAAGTAATAGTGACCTTGACCTTTGACCTTGTGACCCCAAAATCAATAGGGGTCTTCTACCCAATATGGACAATAATCCTATGAAGTTTGAACACTGTGGGCCAAATAGAACTTAAGTTATGCTCCGGAAACTGTTTTTAGTTTTAAGTTAATAGTGGCCTTGACCTTTGACCTTGTGACCCCAAAATCAATAGGGGTCTTCTACCCAATATGGACAATCATCCTATGAAGTTTGAACACTGTGGGCCAAATGGAACTTAAGTTATGCTCCAGAAACCAAATTGCTAACAGAAGGACGGACGGACAGACGGACGGATGCCAGGGGGTATAACATAATATGTCCGAAATTCTTTCGGGCATATAAAAAATATACATAAGCAAAGTAAGAACTTCTTCATGTGATTTTGAAACAAACATACCCTCTGGGAAGATATGGACCCATTTTCCTGCTTGTAGCTCATTAACACAAAAGTTCATTGTTTTCTGGTACACACCAGAACCACGGTGCAGCGGCAGAACTTTACCCACAGCCATACAGAAGGAACTGAATGACCCTTTAAAGCAAACATCTTCAGCTGCTGTTGACCAGCGAAACTGGGGATAGTCAAACATATTCTTCAACCCTAAAATACCTAAATCAAAAATTGTTCAACATAAATTTATATGCATAGTACTATGAAAACTTCCACTTTGGCAAAAACCTAACAATTTTATGTAACTTGAAACTTATTAATGGTAAACATTTTCTTTCACATCCTGTTTGTTTGAAATTTATAAGGCAAATAAAGTTAAAAGTCAGTGATTTCAATAATTCAACATAATTATACTCATGAATTGTATAGTTCTCTAAAATCTCTTCAAATCATGACTAGATATGTTATGAATAGACAATAATGTAGAAAAAGTATCTATTTAAATACAATTTCTCTAATTAATCATATTTCTGCTCTAAAAAAAGGTTTGCCATTAACATTCATGTTAAATATTGATTGGATCTTGTGCATCTTTCAATCTGGACAAATACATTTCTCATTATTTAGGAAAAAATTAAAAATATGTTATAGCTGTATAGACAAAAGTGCAGACCATGATCAGATGGTATTTGTAGCTTAGGTATATTTACCGTAAAATTCTTATCAAACGCCCCCGGGGGCTAAACATTTTCCAAAAGGGGGGCTATTATTACAACACAGTTTTTCCTAAATCCAAAAATCATTGTAAATACATTTAGTGTTACCAAGTGTTGGTAATAACATTAAAAAAGTGTTAAGATTTAGAGTGTAAAGTTCATACTATAAAATAAAATGGATTCTGAATGATTTGACTGAAATTATGGATTTACTCATGAGTTCAGCACTGATGAGTAGATTGTTTTTCTTATCAAAAGGCCTGGGGGCCTTTATTAGGGGAGGGGCGTTTATTAGGAATTTTACGGTAGTTTTCGATTTCAGACTTAGGGTAAACATACAATATGAGCAAACAATTTTTCCCAATATAATGCTATAAATGATAAGTACATTTGGTTTGATGTAATAGAATACTTACTCCACATGAGTGGATCGTCCAATCTGCTAGTATGATTGCTCACTGTGAGAAGTCCCCGTTTGGTTTGCTCATTAAGAGCATTAAGGAACAAATCTTTGTTGTGCACACTTGTTGAATTTAATGTTTTCCCTGAAAATGTTACAATAGTTTAATTTTCAAATAGATGACGTCATAAAAGCTTGAAAAGTTGCATGCATAAAAAAAGTAAAAAAGAGTCGGGGGCAACACTTGACTTTTTCTTATTTTTTTTACTAAAATATAAGTCAAACAAATCACAGAAAGAATATTTTAGTAAAGAGTACTCCTGCAAAACATTTTTTGTTACACATAAAATCAAATGTCATATTTGACCTTGACAGTGAAGGTCAAGGTCAACTTTGAATTAATCATAATGTTACGTTTTGTCATGTACATGTATGTTGTCTTTTGTCCTTGTCCAAAAATGAATCAAATCCATATATAAATAACAAAGTTATGACAATTAAAGCAAATTTCAATGATATGAGTTTGACAATCAAGGGTCCTTTAAAGGTCAAAGTCATATATTAAAATGAACAGCAAATGTCAATTTGTGTTCTTTTGTCGAATTATGAATCAAATCAGCGAAAAAAATTTTAAGCAAATTTAAATAATTTTTAACATGATTTCTAGTGGGTTGATGAATTATTAGCTTTCATTGGACAAAAAACAACGATCTATTTTTAAACAAGAAAGTTTGTTTACAAATGTTATTCTTAATTTATCTTTTATTTTAAAGGGGAAATATACGCAAGATGGGGAATTTTAGAATTATAGTGGTTCTACTCAGGTGCCTGTTCGTGCCTGAAGTAATGCATGGAAGGGCCTTTGAGGTTTTCCTCCACCAGTAAAGCTTGAACATTGCCATATGACCTATACTGTGTTTTGGTGTAATGTAACAACCAATTAAACAAGAAAGTAATACATTAAAATAGAAGAAATCTTAAATTAAACATATGTCAAACATAAATAATTGTGTATAATCTATTGCACAAAAACATGTGTTCATGGATAGTGATAATTGATTAAAGAAAATAATAAGATAATTGATTAAAATTAATTTTTGTAATAAAATGTGTTTGATTTTGTGTTTTTATTCAATAAAAGCCGCTTTTATTATAGTTTTTCACTTGATAATTAAAACACATATTAATAAATGAAATTAAAAATTTAAATCAAATTTTAAAAAAAAATTAAGTGATTTCAACAACAGTTTGAAAATGGGTGTGAAATTTTTATATAATATTTTTTAACACCTGTGGCAAGTTGTTGCTTAACAATGGCGAATCGTCATTTCCCTGTGGCAAATTGTTAAGTGATGAATCGATTTTGTGGTGAATTGTTACATTACCGAAAAGGGTTACAGACAATTTTTATAACCCTCTTTGATTTCTGTTGAAAACTCTTATTGGCAGTTGGCACAATCTGTTCGACGTTTAACCGGAACTTGCCTGTTGTGTTCTCCCACCCTAGTCTCAATATAATTTTTGATTGCAAGAACAACTGACTAAGATTTTACAAATTGATACAACAAAAGACGTCGGCGAAGGGCGACCATCGTCTATATATAATAAAAAACCCAGAAGCGCACAATTTGTTGAGCTACCGCAACCCCCCCCCCCCCCCCCCCACGAACTTGAATAAGTGCGATATCCGAGTGACAGGCAGAAGGACTTACCGACTAGTTTGCTAATAGCAAGGAATGTAGCACTTATCACTCTTGTAGAATTATTCCATGCAAAACCTTTCCATCCATGTTTTGGAATGTGATATCGTAAGTGCTCGTTGTAATCCAACTTCCATTCTTTCATGTTGTGATTTTTGTTGTTGTTGTTGTTTAGAAACTTTACAGCCGCTTATATCAATGAAAAGCAATTTAAGGTTAAACACCACTATACCGTTTTTTAGACTTCCTGTTTTCGCTCTGTACAAAAGTCAAAACACGTTTCTTTGTACTAAAAAAACAAATCAGTTTCATCATTTTTTCATTTAGGAAAAAATAAGTAAAAAAATATGTTCGTTTTGTTACACCAACAAAACATTTTAGATCGATATACTTTTGTACACATAACACACCTCAAATTTTAACTCTATTTTTTTTCAGTGCTTACATGTGCATGTTATCTTTTTACTTATAGGAAAAATGCGTGTTGTACAGTAGGTTTTTTCCAGAAGAATACTGTAGAGCTTGCTGTGCAATGCCAACCTCAAATAAATAAATTTATAAATCACAACAAATTAATCAATCAATCAATCAATCAATTAAGCAACAAATAAATAAATAAATATTTGCCGAAGGTAACACATTAGATGATCCTATATGTTTCTCGAGATCTTCAAGCAAAGGCTTACACAAACATATATTTTTATAAGTTTCAAAAAATATAAAGTTCAGTCAAATGATAACACTCAGATAATTCAATATCTAAAATTAATATAATGTGTTTACAAACCTATTTTAGTTGAAGGTTGCTACTATAAATAGGTTTTGTTTTGTTGTCTTTTTTACGGAAGAGATTGCATAGATAACCATTCAACTGTCAGAATTACATAGATCAACTTGAGTACCATCTATCTTTCTCTGAATACTTCCAACCCCTCTCGCGAGTGTAAGATCTATAGTCAGGAATTAATTTAAGTGCATGTCGAATTGTTAGGTGAAAGAAAAGCAAAAAGTCCAAGCATTATAAACATGCTACGAATTAATGTTATAGGGTATATATATATATTTATTACATTGTATGTTTATTAACCTATACTTAACCAATAATTCCAATAAACTATCCTAAATTATATCATTTTTAAATACACACACAAAGCAAATTATATCAGTTTTAAATGGTACTCTTATAAATTGTCATATGCAGTTGTTATTAAACTCCATTTTGTTAAATTCAATTTACTTTTGCACGGGTCAACTACCAATCGTAACTCCTTCCGCCTTTCTCCGCCATTATTCAAAAATTCAAAACAATAACAAAGCCATTTTTGTGCTATATAATATTTACCATTTCTGTATTTATTTATTTATGTAATTACAGGTATAAATGTATTTTGTATTTATTAATATATACTCTAATAAATCATGCATGTCAGTAATTGTAATGTGTATTTAATTAAATAATAAGTTTAGTATATGTACCATACATTGCATGTAAACTTATTTAATTACAAAATCGTATCTTTTGTTGCGTTCATTTCACTTCAACCCCAATTTCCAATTAATACTGCCTACCTGGTTAAGCTAACCCGCAACAATGGCACCCAAATACACGAGACTGGAAATGTATTCTAGTCATGGTTAAAATGTTAATAGTGAATGAAGAAGATAATTAAAGGATAAAATAGTTAAGCACACTGGGAGCAAGACTAAAACTGCAATCCTACCACTGCCAGTTTGAACTGATTTAAGTTGGGCAGGGTGACAATGAAGCTAGGGAGTATACAGTAATGCTATGAGTGAAGAAAGAGTAAGTTTTTGGCAGTCGGAGGAAACATTATTTGGCGTACAAATAGGAGGTGCATATGTACGGTTAATCTATTTGGGGCTTGGACATATGTTAATTTTGGAGATTAATTCCAACCATAGGTTTAGGTATATCTAATGAAACATGATTAGTTTATAGTCCAATCTGCGATGTTTAAGGTATCGCCAATCCATTTCTTCCTGCATGGCTGTGATACTAGGGAGTAATACCTGTTTGCTCATCGTATTACACGTCTCTGGGTCATATCAACCTTGTCATTAGTACAGAGGCCAAATGCATATTCAATACTTGTACTGCGTAGGTCTGTATTTGGAATACTGAGATTTTACTTAGGGTTGTACAATATAATTGCCGCGAATATGCACTCTGAGTTATAGTGTAATTTTGTAACTATATTATAAATGCTAAAGCTTCAGCTTGCATATTGAATTATAAATTCACCCCTTTATCAAAAATATGTAGAATAGACCTGCAGTATTGGTACTTTTCAAACATAAAGTATAATTAATTTCAAATATAATTTTATTATGTGCTGTGGAAGTAATTAGAAACTTTTTAATTATGGGCTGTTAGATTTCTACGAATTTAATAAATGCAAATAATTATACATTTATTGAGATCCATCGTGAATTTTATAGAAGGGTTTAAATAATCAATAAATAGCTTCGTCTGGATGAGATTCAGGTTGTAACGACTTCTGCAATAGGATTTTCAAGTAATTTTTGTGCTTCAATTTCTTCATACACTTCTCCAACACACTGTTTACCAATGGGTAATGCTTTTAATTGCTGGCATAATACAAATTTTTGACCTTTTATTTTCCCTGTGATTGGTTTACAGATATCATTAAACGATTCCAAAACTAGCTTCTTTTCTTACCTTATTGTCTATAATTTTATCAAGTATTAATATGTCTTGATTTTTGAGAAAAGTATTGCGCATGAGCAAAACACGTTGCGACCAAGGATGCGATTAATGTAAGACTTTTTAAATGGAAAACATATCTTACTTAATATTTCTTTAGCTGTAACACTGTATCATTTTGTTGAAATATTGTTTTTAACCAAAGCAGTCGCTTGACACACTTGATACTCAAGTACATGTATGCAGGTTTTGCCAGGGTGCATTTTTTTCGATTATCGAAGCCCGACACTATGTTGAAAACATGCATTTTCAGGAGCTGGTCAAGCCAGTTCTGAACTACATTTGTACTACCAATAATACGTTACATCTTTTTCCATTCAGTGCATCTTTTAATAGCATGTATTCATTTGTCAGACTATTTTCTTTATGTATATACAAGATCACAAGTTTGATATAATTAATAATAACTTGAATCGACTCATTTGTAGTATCATTTATTCATTTAAATTATCATTATTAAAACAACCGCGGTGTCTGTACTCTCAGTGTCTGAAAAAGCGGGTGGACCCTCGATCATTAAGCATAGACTACCGATGGGCTACAACAATCATTGACCCTCCCCTTCCCAGATTTGCAGACCAAAACATCACAATTGCGGTATCAATATAAATAATAATAGATACTCTTGTTATATTTCTTTTCCTTATTATCTAATTGTATCGTTGAATACGCGTTTTTTATCCATGTATATTAGAATCTACATGCATGTACGTAATATCGACATTTTTATTTTATACAAACGAAAGGTGTGTGTCTTTGAATATAAATAATATTCAAGTTAATATTTTCTTCTGTGACAATTTTAATACTCATAATTATTGAACATGGGGGTAAAGTGTCTAGCCAACATTCTAGTTTGTAATCCATGCATATAATGCTTATGTAGTGGTGGGGTTTATGTTAAACCAATACTCAATGAGGTTTATATGTTTATTCAATCAAGAATAAAACCTGCAACAAATAAAATAACAATAAGACATCATATTACAGAACAAATATTTTACAAGACAAATACATTTCACAAAATACATAATACAGAATATTACACAACAATTCAAATTACAATAAAAACAATTTCACAAATAAATATATACAAATATACATACCAGGCTTGTAATAGAAGAAATCTAATTGAGTAAATAAATTGAATATAAGCAAGTATTTCTATTAAGAAATAACTGACAGTAAACTATATTTTAAAGCTGTTTTCACTTCGAAAGCGAGACAAGGAGTGGTCAGTTACCAAGAAATGTTAGCTATCCCAGAACCAAATCATCTAAAAATAACTTGCATACCAAAACCAATCATCCATCACTCAACTTGCAAAACCAGTTCAATCACTCATAACAAAAGGTACAAAGACAAACATGAACACATAACACCACAATAGATTTGGTTTGGCCTTAAAGGGAAATTATTACCGTAAACATTCTAAAAAGAGAACTTGGCTTAATTTAACCTTATCTACACACTCCCCCCTCTAGTTAAAAATGACACCGGCATTTTCTTAAACAATTATTAATGAAACCTGGATTTATTGAAAAAAATAACATTATGATCAATTCGAAAAAAAAAATGCAATTCACTGTATATTCATATGACGAATAATATATCATATTATTTAAGATATAAATGCCCTTCCATAACTATTTTTGCATAGTTAAACAGAAAAATTAAAAAGAAAAAGGGCATACGGATTTGTAAAATTCTATTGAAAAAAATAAATAAAGATATACTCCAAATGGGGCCCTGTAAAATTTAAAAGGTGAAATTAAAAAAATGAAAAACATTATACATTTTCCCATTTATAATGGGGGGTTCCCCGTCAGGGCTGGGTGGGGGGTAAAGAAAAACGGGGTATGATGGAATGATGGAATAGTCCTGGAGAGGTTATAGGGGTAGGTAATTTCGGGAAAGTAAGGGAAACCTGGGGTCTGGAAACTTACTGGGAAATGGGATATTAGGGAGTAACGGGAATTACGGGAGTAAGGGGAAATTATGAGCAACTGGAAACTTACTGGGTTGGGAATTTTTGGGGGAAATTTTATGACAGGTTGGGGGGAATCTGGAAAATGGGGGATAGAATAGAAGGGCATAGGAATGTCCTAATAAGATATTGGCGACTGGAGTACTGGAAATTTTTCTCTGGGGTTGTGTTTTAAAACCCCAATGTGATTAAGAGAGTAGCTATATTTTTTGTATAAACTCTGGTTTTGGTTTAGGCTTATTTTTAAAAGGTAAATCGTATCTTCTTCGGGATAAAAAAATTAAAGAGATTTTCTGTAGGGTTCGAGGATTTTCAGCCCAAGTTGTATTTATATAAGGTTGGTCGGGAAATGGTATGTAAATGTAAAAAGGTTTTCTTCTCCCATTATTAAGTTTTCCCCTTGAAGATTGTTTTTTCGGCCCAAAAAAAATATGTACAAAAATTTGTTCTGCAAATTACGGTCATTTT